ACACCAAAAGTTACGGCTCGACTTGGAAGCAATTAATACAATTTGGATGGCCCAAATTTAGGTTTGGATGATTATGTTGTTAGCCCATTTTTGTTGTTAGTTGTGGGAATTATTTGGTAGCTCATTTAGTGGACTTTGGCCCATTTTGAAGAGAGTGTATGGCCCAAATTTTAGAGACCTAATTGAACCCCTTTTATTCCCCCATTCTAGCCGTTTTCTAGGTTGTGTGTTGGTGCAAGAGAAGAGTGTGAGAAAGGGGGGGCAGCCGAGAGAAGAGAGAGAAAGGCAGCGGGTTGGTGGTTATTGGTGAGTTCTAACCATTGTTTTCTCCTCTTCTTCTCTCCCTTTGTGGGCTTGCAATCACTACCACCATATCTCCTTTGTGTAGATAAAACTAAGGCAACCAAGTGTAGAAGATTGTTGGGTCGAGCCGGTTGATGTGGTATTCGTTTTTGGTTGTTTTCTGAGCCCAGAACTTGGATACTGGAGCCCCCCATTTCTCACAAATTTCCTTCACATATATGATTAATCTAGCGAATTTTGACTTGATTTAGCCAATATTTGATCCCCATTATCTGAAAAATTCAATTCTTTTATTTCAAAACTCATTTCAACCACACATCCTCACATAAATTTTTTTAAACATAAATCGAAAACATTTTCATACTGTTTAACTACATATTCTAAAAAAAGTTATCATCACAAAACTCATTTTCAACTAAATATGGGGTTCAAACATAGGCTTAGTGTATATAATTTTTTTTATAGTACAAATTATGATTGGACAAAACTCCAGAACTGAACCGAACTAGATCGAATTGATCAAAGCTCAATATAAGCTTTCTCCAAAAGAGTGAGTTCTGCACATTTTTTAATTATAGTTTATTTATTTCTTTTGGTTGTAGAATGTCGTTTATTTATTTATTTCTTTGTATAGTGATTTGGATAACTCATGAGGTGACTGTTCACTTCTTTTTTAATCCGGCTGTTGATTCCGTTCATTTTTTCAAGGTATATTTATGTGCATCTACGTATTGAATGTACGCAATCGAAGCGGATATTGATTCACTCACCATGACTTGCTTATTACTTTATTTGATAAAGATTATTTAATATAAAATGTAGAATTTCTACTGTCTAGATTATTAAATAATCGTGGTATAGAAAAAATAATATAAATCATTTGTCAAATTTCTAATTCGAATATTGATTACGTGAAGATTCAAATGTTTTATGCAAACAGTTTTTTTTTTGTTATATCATGATGTTAAACTATAAAAACGTTCAACTAAGGACAGATGATGTAATTTATCATGTTGTTGTAAATGACTTTCGTGATAATTGTAGATTTTGAAAGTCGAGTATACAAAAGAGTAATATGATTATGCAATTGCACACTCGCAGGAGGTTAGAAAAGTTGATGTACTTAGATGTGTACTGTATACATGCTGAGAGTTAGAGATAATTTACAGATTTTTTCCTTAATTCTTTTTTCTCAGTTGAGAAATTTGAAAACCTATTTATCAATGCTATGCTTTATCATATTTTTGGCATTTTCTTTGTAAATAGAAAAATAAACTAGCTAGAGCCTGAAACACTATTCCATAACTCACTTGTAAATGAGTTATCTGCCACTGTTAATGAATAATCCTGCATAAATTATCATC